AGGGCTGAAACCCAGTGGAACCGCGAACGCATGCACCGACAGGGAATCAGAACCTAGAGAAAGTGACAGCGCATACCAGGCCACAGGGACCGTGGTTTGCCGAAGTCTGCATTGCATTTTCTTATGCATATGCACACACGCCGGTCCACTGATGTGGGCAATCTTAGTACAGTGCAAATTCATCTCCGGGACTTGCTGTGTCTGCCAAATATAAGACAGGCTACTTCCGCACACATAATTTCAAAAAGGGGGCAGGGTGGCTTGTGTTCAAATGTCAGTAGGCATTTAGACCTTCCCGCGGCATACAAACTCCTATGTCATTGCGTGAGTAAACCACATACCAGAGTCAAAACGAACTTTACTATTGCAAGAGAAGACGGAACCACCGGAAGAGGAAGCAGGATTACCAGGACCATCTACCATGGATACAAGGTGCTACATTAATGGCGGTATACGCCTCTGAACGACCCTGAATACAAGCACAGTTAACTATCGTACACCACTTTAATTGTCCAATTCTCTGTGTGTTTAATGTTTCTTATCCCTTGACGGTCTGATGACCTGTGAGAGTTGATTGGCGTATGACAAATACAACAAGCCTCTTTTGGTTGCAGCCTCTTATCTCTGAAATTGGCCACTTTTAAGAGTTTGAAAGCTCAGGACAATAATTAAATTGCTCTTGTACTTGACCGGCCATTTGTGCTATCCACGCATGTGCGTGCATTGGGCGTCATACCAAAGAGACATCTCAGTCTCATTTAAAGTCTGCAAGTGAGTCGTTTTTGACTGACAGTAGACTGCAGACTGGGGTTGAACAGAAGCTCCATTTACGAGACGTTGATTGAAATAACGACGCACTAGCAGAATATTTTTTTAGATTTACAAGTTTCCGCTCAGTTAAGGAGCTGTTACTACGGGTATACGTCTGTTTAATCCTGTTTCCAGGACGTGGTTCATCGATCGCCTGCAGTCAATCACGTAGCTGATGCAAGTTTGTTGACATCGTTTCGCAAAACGATTTTTCACATGAAAAGCTCGATGCTGGGACGAATAACACTTAATAATCGAGGTTCCACTATATACTCATTCGCCTCTTGGCAAACTTCCAACATATGAATCGAGGAGCAACGAACAGGGACGAATTCTTATGCACAGAATATTTTCAACTTTTAAGATTTTGGGATTGTCTAAAAAAGCAACTGACTTACTTCTACTTAAGTACTTATCGGCCAGGGTAGCTGGAAGACGAATTGACATCAGGTTTACAAGACCACGTATCACTAGCATTCAAAATAACCTCATGTAGGCTGCAATTGAGACAATTTTTCCTACATTCTCAGTGATACCTGTCCACCACTAAGATCCACTTATAATTAATATGCGTGTGTCAGGCATATCTGATACGTGTCTTTTAAATATATATTTAAATAAAAATATCTGTTTACTCTAAACTAAATAGCCCAATTTGGCTATTAATCGGAAAAGCAGCGGTTAGACCATACCGATAACATCGTGATAACACATTTGTCCCTGCATTAGTCAACAGCCGAACTGAAACTTTAAATAAAAGGGGCTTGGCGTCCACGCCAAAAAGAAGTATGCTATTTCAATTAGATAAAATAGCCAAATGTGGGAGTTCCTCAGGACTCATTGAACAACCATCCATTCTGAGTTGTCCCGTATGGACAACCGTATCGACGTACATTTTCATGGTGCGGCAAAGTGACAGGTAATAGGAGCAGTCAGTGGCGTTAGATCGAACCCCTAGATAACGTCGAACATATGAATCGAAGAGAAACATACAGAGGTGGAACCATACACACAGAATATTTCAACTTAGCCACACATAACGGTTCGCTGCCAATTCGACTATGGTGAATCGCATTTCCTGCCTAAGCGTCCCTCGTACCTTCTGAGGACACACGACGGGACACCTACATGCATCCCGCCTACAAAAACGTATGCTTTCTGTGAGCAGGAACGAGGAATAAGCACAAGTGAATACGCTCATATACTGTAATGCAAGTCCTGCTTGCAAGGAAATTTAACTTGATAGTTTAACATTCATTTGAACCGGTTATTCTGCTGAAGTGAGTGGATTTTATAATTAAAAAGGCTTTATGGAGCGAAAAAAGCACCACATTTGGCTGCATCATGGGTACGTTTATGTCGAACACATTTCGTATACTATAAGCTACGACTGAACAAAACGTTATTCAATATGCATTGCGCCATTTAAGATTTACACAATAAGTGGAAATAAAATTGAAAAAATGACCTCTTCCATAACTGAAAATGTTTGTCCAAATTTGCTCAAATGGAATTGAAGCCAAATATAAGGAATCGGTGTTATTTTCAGAAAAATGCAGCAATTTGATGTTTGAAAATTATGTCTTGCTAACCTATGAACTGTTTTTTTTTACACAAAATGCAGTGACAACATATTTGCACCGCATATTGCTTAAAATGCACCACTGACCTCGGAGTTTACGCATAGTTTGTGCATATGTTACCATGAAGGTATTGTAAAGAACGCCTTACTGAATGCAAGTCCTGTAGAAATATACTTTATTTACCACACGTTGCGTTTATGCGCTATGTAGAAATGGAACATTTTTTCAAAAACATTGCCATATCTGTGGCCATTTTTTTGCAATCCCAAGTACATAAAAGATCATGGAATTAATCCACTTATACGAAAAATAATCAATTATAAAGCGGTAAGTTAGTTTTTTCATTTTTAGTCCGACTGAATGCTTCATCTTCAAATATATTTAAAAAATTGTAAAAAGTCTCCAATCTCATTGTGACACTGCCTCGAAAACCGTTGATATACACAGCAATTCGTCAACTGAATATCTAATCAGAACACTTTTTAAAGAGGTAACCATTTTTGAAAATGTATTGATTGATCTTAGGAATGGCAATAGCCGAGTTATCTTGCGGGCGTTCCGCATACCCGACAATGCAGTTTGCTGCTTTGAGGCATTTCTAAATATGATCCACATGGCCATCTTCATAAGAGCTTATAAACAAAAACTCATTTTTCGATTAAATACCCCTTATACTTTTCTCATTTTAAAGGTTTTCATGTAAACTTCGAACAGAAGCATAATTTATCAACTTATCAATGAAGACACTGAAAACGAGCCAAGTGATGACAGACATTATTCCATGATTTTCACTTAATATTTATCTACTAATGGTAATATGAGCAACATATTTTGACTTAAGAAAATTTGGTTTTATGTAAAGAAAGTGGTTGCTTTATGTTTTCAACTGAACAAAATGATTTAATTTATCGTTTTAATTTATAACTATTTTTACGTCTCTAGATTTTGGGGACTATCGGAAAAAATGTAGTTTTCCTTAACAAACACTTAGATCTTCTTATATTTCATTTTGGTGTTAAATTTGCCTAACGTTGTTATTATTATGTCTAGGTCTTCGAAAATTTATTCTGTCCGGTATGCGAGTAATGTTCAAACTTTTACAAACTTAGAAATTTTTCATGCAGCACTCGCAGTACTGTATGTAAGGAGTGTAGCCTTACAAAAGGCTCATAAACCTGCTGACTCTTCTGAGGCGTCGTGCTTGCCGCCGGCTGCCACAAACATTTCTTTCTCAACGGTGGGTTGCCTCCAAGTCATCTGCCTTCACTGGGCTGCACCCAAACGATGACCTAAAAGCGAACACACACGCATGCGAACATACGTAGGTTCTGCCTGGTCATAGTTCATTAAGGTTCCGCTTAGGTTCGCCAAAGCAGATGACGGGCCCAAGCGACTGCGCTTGACGATCACCTATGACCCACTGGCACCTGTCAGACAGTGAGTTGCACACGGACTGTGAGGATACCGCCAATTCGCGCACGAGACCTGTGCTATCCTCGAGGTGGCGACATTCAGCGCGATAGCGACTAACCAGCAACTCCAGGTTTTGTACGCAACATACTGTCATCTTGGTGGTTTCCAAAGTTACGTCCTTCTTATTGTGTTCTTCCTTGGGGATTCCAACGGGCTTAATTACACGGTGACACAACATAGAAGTCACCGCTACAGCAATACGCGGGATCACAAAAACATATACATATTTTAAATAATTGTAACCTTGGTGTTTATTTTTGGTTTATTATTTAAAAATGAAAAATATTTACGAGTAGCATTTGATTGTTTCTTCGCTGCATGTTCTCGCATTATGCAACGTGGTCATTATAACATTTATATGTCAATATAAGTCTTCGCTGTTAAGGAGGATGATCTAGGCCGAAGAGTACAGTATTGTGATTGACATCTAAAGCAAAGTCTGGATCAAAATGGATGTCATTTTGAGAAGATACTGTCTAGGAAACAGTATTTCTCCGAGGTTTCGAACTCTCCCGCGAGCTCCTTTTCAAGAAATGAAAAAATGTACAGCTCACAGTGTAACTATGTTGTTTCTGCCGGGATTGACCTCTGCCCTTGGCCTCTGCCCTGCCCTCTACTCGCGCAACGTGAGGTAGGCATCTGAAAGCTCGACATGCCTGTTTATGGAGCCCACGCGTGAATACCACGCTTCCTGGAGCAGGCGTGAAGTTCGGTCGTTTGACCGAGCCAGTATTCGCACGCGTTCGAAGTCGAAGCTGTGCCTCGGCATGGATGCGTGGGCGGCCACCAGGGAAAGGTTGTCCTTCCGTCGCACGGCGAGTTCATGCTGGTGCATTCTCGTGAGAACCCGTTTCCCGGTTTCACCAACATAGTTGGCTTGACCACGAAGGCAGTCAATACGCTAGATGAAACCGGACATTTGGTAAACGGGTACTGGGTCCTTGGGCCGCATAAGTTGCCTGCGGATTGTTGCTTCCTGTCGGTGAGCAAGGCCAATCCCAAATTCGCTGACCAGTCGAGCGAATTACTTTTTGTTAGCGGTCACAGCGGAGGTCCATAAAATGCTGGCATGCTACTGTGAGTGAAATGACTTTAAAATAGCTTACGCGATAATCAGTTTTAAAACCTTACTCAAAACCGTGTGGCAAAAGAATTTCAATGTTTCACAAGTGTGCGCTTTTTACACAAATTCCTGGCCTCATTGTATATATGTCAAACCAGTTTAAAACGAATTTGCTGTATTCTTCTTTCCTTATTAAGTTTTTAGCGATTTATTTGAAGAGGGGTTGATCTTGCCATTTGGGACGCCTAGAGAGTGCACGATTTCACAAGCTCTTAGTCTGAAAGGACCGTAAGTGAGCAGCACATTTCCATCTAATTAGAACATAACAATTTAAGCATATAATGTTTTATACAGTCGATTACATATCTGATGAAAGGTTGGGGATAGGGGATTTAACACAAATTTGAGGTTGATAATTAAGTTATTTGGGTTGACTTGAGACGCAAAATGCTGTTTACTAGGATGGAATTCCGTTCCGATCAATATACTGGGAGAAAATATAGGCGGGAATGGGCGAAATTCGGTGTTTTTTGATGTCCAAGGAGTTTCCTATGCTATTAAATGCTGCGGAAAAAAGGCTTATTGTTTGTTCATGTTGCACTATCAAAGAATATTAATGAAGAGCAGGAACTTTTTCATTATTGCTGTTTACAAGACAAAACATTTTGTTTTGCGTCAATGAAATTGAGGTTATTGTACGTACGAGATACAGCACTAGAGTAAAGAAAAGATAAATGAATTTAGTTCATGCATGTTTGACCTACAATATGTGTTTTAGTAAATCCGTCCAAAGGTTGTAAAAAAGTATTAAAAAATAATGAACATAAAAACGTGGAACAGAACTGACAAAAGATTATCATGCTAAAAAAATATCGAAGGATATTTTTGGGTCACTCTGTTGTGCATTTGAAATCGAAGAACGGTGCCCTGAAGTAAATGAACGTATTGAAAACTGCTCTTGGTTGCATAGAGATGAAGATCTTTTATTTCTAGCTAAGATTTTCCTCTAAGTTTTAAGGATGTCAAAAAACCCATCATAATATCCCATTTTGATCTTGACTCCATCTTCAAAGAAGGTATCGCACACAGATATTCGACTTCGAAATATCTAACTTAAGCGTTTGTTGAGGAGGTCACTTGTTATAGAAAGTTTTTTTAAATTAATCTTGGACGTATTCATTCTAGACATTTGTTCTGGAAATTCATTTTTCTCGGCAATAAGGTAACATGTTTGGGCAATTCTTAAGTCCTGACCCACACAGGCAGCTGTCTTAGGATGAATTTTTAAGAACTCATTATTAAGGTGAATGTTTTTAAGATTTTTTTTTCTTAGTTTCGGTAAATAGGTTAAACAAAATCGTTATTTATTGAAAAACAAAGCGAAACAGTGAAATTCGTAGAGTTTTCAGCCGAATTTCGAAAGCAGTTTGCTGCTCGTCCCACTCGAACTCTCGAAATAATTTATTTTAAATGTGAAGAACTGAAATTTCTTTCAATATACACAAGATTATGCGTGAAGATTATAAAAATTTTATTACAAATACAACCGTAATCTAACTTTTTATAAAGCAGCTAGCCTATCCGTGTGTGATCTTCAATCTTATTTATTCCGCTCAACAGCAGGGATATGATTACCATAGAAAATATTTTTGCAATTGTCAATATAAATTGATCCAAAGCACGCAAGAACCCTTTCGTGCATTAAAAACGGAAATTTGTGCGTTGTATCCACATCGGGACAAAACTGAAGTCAAGGTGAACACATCCACTTCTGACAGATTTTATACAAGTTTCAATGTTAATGGAAACAATTTAATTCATAAAATATTTGTATTTGTACTTATTCCGGATGAACTTGTCATTCTTTTCCATTCCCGTGCCTTAAGCATATTTATATTTCACATTGGACCAGTGACTTTTAATATTGCCGTTACCTGAGTTTGCAGATTTTGTGAAATGTATGTAAGCATGTTAAATGTATTTTTTCTCTGTCACACCGATGTGTGGTTTTACTGATGGTTGATATCTTTGGAGTTCAAAGGTTTCTTGCAATTTTGTGAAAGCGATATGATTTTCAGCATTCTTTGTGAACTCGACACACTGGCCTCATGCTAAGCAAAGTCTTTAAAGTGCAGTACTTCCGAAAACTTTTGACAGACATAGTACGGTTATATTCACTCATTTAAATACTCAAGCATGTATAATAATCGCCCAGAAAAATAAGCATATATAAGGAGGATCAGATACCAGTATGTACTGTATCAATCAAAAATTATCAAATCATTTGTGCCTCTTTGAAAAACCATTTGGGATTAAAATTGACTTATAGCTGTCTGTGTACCTATTTCTCAGGTACATTTGAGAAATAATTGGAAAAATCCGCACACATACTGACACTACACACAAGGGACTGACGTCAGACCACTTCTCGTCAGGAACTGCTTAGCGCACCCTCTAAACCAAAACGTTGCTCAAAGTGGAAATAAAGCACAAAATGCCCCTAACCTACTTTAGGCAGTTAATCAGGCTTGTTTCCTTTGGGCAATAACTCGAGACGTTAGTTCATCGAGCGGAAGTACATGTTATAGGGCTTCCAGTAGCGTACAATTGTCTTAGTCTATCTGCCATCACCCAACCATGCACCTTTATATCCGTCGTGTGTAGGGCATACTGATTTGCTTAGAGGAAATGGGCCATAACTAATATCTGCTGTTTTGTAGTTTCTAAATTTGCATGAGATATGAAGAGAATCTGATACCTTCGTCTACAAAGTAACTAATTAATTTCTCTTCTGGGGAGAAAAGTAACAATGATTGATTATGTCATGGAAAACGATTATATACCATGAGATAAGAAAGTGGGCTTTTCAGTTTGAGCCGCCATTACC